TCTGTACTGCAGCGACGGCTGGAATCCCACCGTGCTTCCAGGAACTGCCTTATTTCACTCCAGATGTGCGCCTGCAGAGCATCGCTTGCCTGTGCAGAGCACCCCGAGCTGCTCCCGCTGCTCCTGCCCCGCTGTGCCCGTGGCCCTGGGCTCGCCTTGGGTCTCCAGCGGGAGCGTCCGAGGAACGGGAGCGAGCCCCGCTCCGGTGCCCGCCCTGCCTCGGGCACGGAGCATTCCCTGGGCCGGGCACTGCGGGTGACAGGGACAGTTCTGTGTGTGCGACAGGAGCTGCTGCGTGCCCTGCGGTGTGTGAGCCCCTCTGACAGCGGCACCAAAGGGGACAAAACGCCCCAGCGCGGGTGGAGGGTGTGGGGAGGGTCAGGATTCAGGGAAGGGGCTCTGCAGTGCTTGGTCGGTATTCTGTAAGCCAGGAGCCGAGGAACAAGGGCTGGCTATAGGCTGATGGCCCGGGATTTTGGGTGGTGATGGGGAAGATGAGCACCAACAGTGCCAGGGCATGCTGGAGGGCAAGGGACTGAGATGTGCTCTGTGCCTCTGACAAACTGCAAAGGGGAAAAGTGCTGCTGTGGCTGGGCACTTCTGCTTCCTGAGCTTGCTGAGTTTTAATACCGAGTAGATTTATGTCATTAACAGGTTGTCTACTTAGTGCCAGCTGCCCTGACACTGCTTGTCAGCATCAACCCTTCAATAACAGGTATGATACTGGTGTTCAAAAGAGTCTCTTCTCATATTTTGCCCTCAAAAGGTTGTAGTTTTGCTTTTTTTTCTTTTTAAATTGAGCCACAGATTAAAATCAGGCTGTGTAGAAACACATTCCTACTATCTTCTGAGGGCAAAAAGCTGCAGAACCTATTTCTAGAGAAGCTGGTCATTGCTTTAGTGCTGGTGGCTGCAGGTGAGGAGAAGAGTCCAGCAGAAAACCCAGCTGCTGGGGTGGGCCTGCCTTTGCACCCCAGTTGCAGCTTAAAGCCTTCTGGAACACCAGGGAGCATGCTCTGAACCTGGCTCTGTGCTGACCTTAGCAATTGACTTTGTTTCATTGTTGTAAATCTGTTTGTGTTTATCTACCTCGTGCAAAAGTAGCTGAGCTTTGCACAGTCCCATGAAAGTGCTAAAGGTCTTGTTCAGTGCCAGGTATTGCAGCTGCCCCACAGAGCCATGGGCAGGAACATTCAAAGGCTGTGTTTCCAAGGGTGTGTGTTGTGGGGCCAAGAGCAGTTCAGAAGATCATTCAGATTAGATTTGTTTCAAGTCTTCAGAACATAGTTAAGATTTTTGTATTTAAGATTTTTGTATTTTAATTCAGTGGAAATAGTTTAAATAAAGCCATTTTATATACATAAAATATATTTATATAAAGTGACTGCATCTGTTCTGTATGAATACTTATGCTGAATAAACTAAAATCACACTTAAAAAAGAAAACCTTCAGGAGTGCATGGTATTTCACAAATTACACTACTGCAGTCTCTTGGCATTCTGGCCACCTTAAGCATATATAGTGGCAGCATTCCTAAGTTCAGAACTCATGAGGCTTGAATATTGCTGGGGAGGTTTTGGCTGGTCAATAGAATCTGTATATTAAACTCACAAGGGTTTCCTTGTGCCCAGATCTGTTGAAAATAAAGATTATAATAGCACAACTTCTGTAAAACTGCAGGTTTATGTAAATTCACCAAGAGGTATTTGCTATTCAGGTCTGTGGAAGATCCAGATGGGTTTACTTCATTCTTCATGACAGTGGCTGACACTCTTATTTTTTTTTTTCCCCAGACAACGGTGTTTGGAGGAACCTCTGTGACCTTCATTCTGCTGGCTGTGTTGTTGGGACCATTGCCTTGGCTTGCTCTTTGTTTGCTTATGCTCAAGGAAACATTTTTCATGAAGAGGAAGGCAGGTGAGCAATGGAGTTTATGTGCCCCTGCCCAAATCCAGCTCACCAGGCCGACTCCTCCTGGTGTCACCTTCCAAAACTTTATTTCCTGGGCTGTTATAGTGCAAGCTGTTGGTCCAGAGGAATCAGACCAAAGAGGAGGGACCATAATGCTCCAAACCAGTGACTGCTTGGGCACAGGGAAGGGAACATTGCCTCCATGATTGTGGCAGTTGGATTTACTTGTCTGGCTTTCAGACACCAGGGCACAAGCACAGTGAAACAGCTTTGTGCTCTTTTCCTGGAGCTGTGGGAGTGGTAATCAGTGTTTTAAAAACTCTTGCGGTGATACCAAATTCATGTTTATCTGGCATGGGCTGTTGAGTCCTCCAAGGGATTGAGGACAAGGGAGAATTTCTCACCTGGACATTCAGGTATGTAAAAAGTAGGTGCTTGTAAAGTACTGAAGCAAAGCCCTGGCAGCTACTTCTGTACCTAATCACAGTCTGGAAAACTGGCATGTTGCTTTGCTCTGTTTCAATGAGAGAAATGTGCCTGCTTTGCCTGTGTTAATTAGAGAAATGTGCTGTGGAATATAAATCCAGCAGTAGAACAAAACGCGGAGGCAGGAGTTTCTGCAGCTGTTTAGCTGTCATGTCGATTTGTAGATTTGTGGTGTGAAGCAAAGTTACTCTGTAAATACCTTTATAATTCTAGTAAAATATGTTGAACTACTCCAAAGGAGCAGCCACTACTGTTTTGGAGGCAAAATTTGTGTTGTAGGAACATAAACATCTGTTTGTATTATTTTCTGATCTGTTTTTTGTTTGGCTTTTTAGAGAATTGTTTGGTCTGGTGATTATTACAATATGGATGAGTCTTTGTCGCAGTTCAGCAAAGTAAGTTTTATTTTCTCTTTTTTTATTATCCATTCCAATGTTCACATTTAGTGACTAGCTCCTTGAAAACACACAGCTGATTTTGGCAGCTTGTTTTCCTGTTTCATGTCACCCTTCCAGCTGCCCAAGCAGTAGCAGCCTGGAGGATCTTGCACAGATAAATTTGGGGCAGGGGGGAATGTAAGGCTACATGAAGCACTTTTTCTGTCCCCCTGCCATAATAGGGGAATTTTCCCTTTACTTAAGGTGCTTTATTTAATTCCAACTAGTTTCTGTAGCCTGAGTTGTCTGAAAATTCTTTGTGCCTCTCCAGAAGACTGGTGATACATCCATAGGAGCCCCATTAAATTGGCAAGGGCTCTCTGCTCTTCCCAGCTGCAGGCAGATGTGAATGTTATGTGGTGGCTGTAGCAGTGGGCAGGGACATCCTGGGCTGTCCCATCATGGTGTGGTCAGCATGACCCCTGTGGTCAGTGCTTGTCCCCTGTGCTGGCACTGCTGAGACACCTCCAGTCCTGGGGTCAGGTTTGAGCACCTCACTTCAAAAAGGACTTTGAGGGACTGGAAGTGAAGGGAACAGAGTTGGGGAAGGGTCTGGAACACCACGAGTCAGCAAGGGAGCTGGGGTGGCTCAGCCTGCAGAAAAGGAGGCTCAGGGGGGACCTTTTCAGTCTAAAGCTCCCTGACAGGAGGGTGCAGCCTGGTAGGGGTGAGGCTCTGCTTCCAGGGAACAGTGACAGGACCAGTTGAAACAGCCTCACGCTGTGCCAGGGGAGGCTGAGATTAGATCCTAGGGAAAATTCCTTCACTGAAAGAGAGGTCAGACATTGGCACAGGCTGCCCAGGGAGGAGTCACCATTCCTTGGAAGTGTTCACAAAAAATCACTGGATGTGGCACTGCACTGTAGGGTTTAGTGGGTGTGGTGGTATGCAAAGTTGGACCTGATGATCATGGAGGTCTTTTCCAGCCTTAAAGATTCAGTGATTTGTAGCAGCTCTGTTGGATTTGTTCTGTTACAGGAGTCCCCTGGGAGGAGCTCGTTTGGTTGCTGCAGTTGTTGTTGCCCTGTTCCCCTTTGTTTCGTGGCTGTACATTTATGTGAACAAAGACGTGCGAGAGTCTTGGCCAACACACTGCAAAACTGTGATTTAATGGGATGGGAGAATGTCTGCAGTGACTGTGCTGACCTTATTTGCCTTTGTTTTTGGTGCTTAACAAAAGGTGTGTCAGTCTGATAGCACCCAAGAATGCCTGGCTGCTTCCAGCAGTGCCAGCTGAGATTTGGTAAAATGTTGAGGAATGCTGTAAAAGCTGAGTGGGGAATTTTTCTATGGAAATGAATTCACCTTGCTGCTTCTTACATTTTCCAAACACCATTGATCTAATGTCTGTTCTGATGGTATATTCAGGATATCACTGTAGCCCTGGATCACTCTCCAATCACCTCATAGTTTGGGAAATCTATTCTGTAATGTAAGGAACAAATAGAGCAAATACTGTTTTAATAAATGACTATTTACAGCCATAGAACTTTCAATAATGTGCCTGGATAACCCATTTCAGACTTTTTGGAAAATTGAGCAGTCTGTATTTCTGTTCTGTGCTAAAATCATATGTAGAATATATCTGAAAAAATATTTTTACTATTAACTGAAAATCACTGGTTTTACTGAGTAATAAAAACTATTTTTTATAAGAAAACTCAATGAAAGCCTCCATATCTTTTATTTTCTGGGAGATGCATATTCAAGCCTGTCACAGCAGATGTGGGCACTGTTCCAATTAATTCTGCTGCTCAGCTAATTTTTTTTTGGAAAGCAGGACCCACACAGTAGCCCTGCAGCAGCAAGCATGTCCCACTGTTCATCCTGAAGAAAGAAGCACAGGTGGATAAAATGGACTCAGGATCTGGCTGGGACAGAGCCAGGACAGCTCCAGGTGTAACACACAAACCCTTTTATTTAGATGGGTGTCAGAGCTCACTCTCAGCACTGCTGCAGGTGATCCCAGCTGTGCACACACAGCACAGCCTGAGCATCTGCAGCGTTCCATGGTGCAGCACAGATGGTCTCAGCTTTCTCTGAGCATTACTTTAGTCTTTTAAAGCAAACTTGGAAGACTGAATTAGGCTACAGGCTGGATATATTCTGCTAGACATGAGATCTTACTGTAATGTTCACAGAAAATAAATAAATAGAGATGTGGATGGGCAGGTACAACTCTGCATGCTTTAATGCTCACTGAGAGAACAGCACTAGGGCTTTTTTTGAGCAATATTTTTTATATGGTTTGCATCTTTTCACAGTAGCAATCCAGTCTGAGAGAACAGCATTAGGGGCTTTTTTTGAGCAATATTTTTTATATGGTTTGCATCTTTTCACAGTAGCAATCCAGTCTAAGAGAACAGCATTAGGGGCTTTTTTTTGAGCAATATTTGTTATATGGTTTGCATCTTTTCACAGTAGCAATCCAGTCTGGATTGGGTGTTGGACTTCAACATTCTGCATTCCAGTATATTAATTTAAATTACTGTCCTTCTCTATTCTCCAAAAAGAAGTCAGGTGCTCTCTTACAGAAACACAGTTTCTAATATTCTGTGTCCAAGAGAAGAAAGCCTGAGCTAAAGCAATAAGGATCAGCCATGCACAGCTTTCTAAAAGCAAACAGCTGAATCTCCTACATTTGTGTCCATTTTTCATCCGAGTCCTTCCTGTGGAAGAACAGTGTCTTTGCCTGGTATTTCAGAAGTGCATAACTCTGTCAGGAATTCTGCCCCTTCCCTTCAGCACCATTTTATCTTCATAGACATGAACAGTGGCAAAGGCGTTGCTGTCGGGGGGGGTCTCGATGAGCCCCTCCAGGGTGAGGTGATGAACTCCGTGCAGGTCCTGGCAGTAGGCGCCGTCGTGCAGGTGCCCTGCGAGCACACAGACCACGCACCTGTGTCTGTGTATCACTGACAGGGCAGCCTCGTAATTCCAGGCCAGGCAAACCCCATTGGAAGCACAGGGATGGATGGGCACGTGAGCTGCAGTCCAGAGGGAAAGAAATAAAGAGAGGTAAACTGTAATAAATCTGCCTCATTGATGGGAAGTTCAGCTATCTCACTGAGTGTGGCATTCATATTTTATGAAAAATCCCTTCACCCAGGATTTTCTCCTGGGAAGCTTAGAAGCCTCAGAGAAAAATTACAACAACAATTATCTCATTTGCTTCTCCTCTGTTTTGCTCCTTTGGAATGTGTTTGGAGATTGTTTACCAATGTGGCTGTTTCATTAGTTTCATGTGTTTCATTAGTTTCATTGTTTTGACTTATTGGCCAATCAGGGCCAAGCTGTGTCAAAACTCTGGAAGGAGTCACGAGTTTTCATTATTATCTTTTTAGTCTTCTGTAAGTATCCTTTCTGCATTCTTTAGTATAGTTTAGTTTAGTATTCTTTTATATAATACAACATCATAAAATAATAAATTAGCCTTCTGAGAACATGGACTCAGATTCCTTCATTCCTCCTGCCATGGGACATCCCGCAAATACAATAACTGAGTACAGAAAACTCACCCCCAGAGTGAGGTGTGGTTGCTGTTCTGCTGTTTCATGTGTTCCATCTGTACCTCACCAGACCAACTGCATGTTTTCTGCAGCTAACGTACACAGGCTAGCTAACTTTTTTTTTCCTTGTATTTCCATGGGAGTTGTGCTGGTTTGGCTTTAATTGATATTTGGCAAGGAGGGAAGAAGCCACTCACAGAAATGAGTGAGAGGAGCTGCTGAGAGCTTCCTCTGTACACCCTCCATCAAATATAGGGATTGGAACTAGACTAGATTTAAGCACCCTTCCAACACAAACCATTCTGATTGTCTATTTATCCCCCTCCATATCTACCTACCCATAACTATAACTTTTTCTTGGTTTTCATCAGAGAACTTGAGGACTTCATCGAACCAGTCCAGCTGGGCTTGGCTAAATCCTCCATTAAATGCTACAAAATGAGGTTCTTTGAGCCCTGCAGTGAAGAAGAAGAAGGTTAGGCACAAATGCATACACCTCCCCTGGTTCCTCTATTTGCCTTATGCAAATCTGCTGATGGTTGGTTTACTCTCAGAACCTTTGGGGTTGTTTTTGCACTTCCTGGATCAGAACTCCATCCCCCTTGCACAAAGGAGAAGATTACTCATTAGTGTTTTCAGGAGTTTGGGTCACAGTACCCAAACAGGGTTTCCACTGTTGGGTTTCCCCCTGGCATGGGGCAGGGTGAGCACAACTCGGTGCCCTGCACCAGCCGCCTCCCCGGTACTGCAGGGCACAGAGCACAGCACCAGGCTACGGAGGAGCATCTCCTGGGCCCGCACTGACGGCAGGGAGTGGGCAGCAAAGAGGCACATCCTTGTGAGCCCCTGGCATCCCGCTGTCAGCACCGGCAGCTCCGGACAGCGAAGCTTCGGCCGCCCGCGCCCCTGCCAAGCCGGAGGTACCTTCGGGGTTGTTGAGATCATCGTTGGTGTTCTTCTCCCGCAGCACCCGCAGGGACTCCTGGTAGCGGGGGCTGC